GAAGGGTCTAGGCCCGAAACGTCAGCCTCTCTGCTCCTATGATGCTGCTTGGCCTGCTGTGTTCATCCAGCCCTGCACCTTGTTGTCTCACCTATTTGTGCTATTTGTTTAAGGGTATCCCGTACTGATGAGTCCATTCTGCTGTACTATAATGTCCATTGATTTCAGTGAGGTGGAGTTTGACTACAAAACTGTTTTCATGTGTGCACGGTCGCTGTACCATCAAGTGGTGGTGTTGGTGAGAAACATGGCCTGACATTACATTATATAACATCCAGCATTTGGATTTTGATTCCTTTGGAATAGGATTAGTGTAATGTGTCTGGTCACAAAAGATTGTAAATTGGTTCATACCTGGTTTGAAGACTTCTCTGGTGTGAACATAATTGGTCAAAAAGCTGCTTTTTGTGCTATAGTAACCCACTGATTCATTTCTGATTTGGCTTAGTAAGCTCAAATTAAAAATATTATTATAAGTGATGGTTAATTGTTCCTTTTACCTTTCCTAGATTGGCCGCACAGAAATGGTTAAGAACTGCCTTAGCCCAAAATTTTCAAAGAAATTTATGATAGATTACTATTTTGAACAAGTACAGAAACTGAAATTTGGAGTTTACGATATTGATAACGAAACTTTTGATCTGGGCGATGATGATTTCCTCGGAGAATTTGAATGTACTCTGGGCCAGGTAACTACAAATATTTCGTTCTTTAGTTTGCTAAGTCGCTGGAGCTTTGAATACTTCTACAAAACTGTTTAATTTTGTGCTTCATGGCTTAAGGGAAATAGTTTTGTCATTGCATCCATTGCACTGCAGTAATTATCATGATTTTCTTTTATCGTCAAAATGTTTCTAGATATGATATCAGTGTGATGGATTTTAGTATAAATTCTCTATCATATTTCAGCGTACACTCTTGATCTGCCCTGATGTGTGCAGTGCATATATGAGCAAATGAATTCAGAGCAGAAGTAGGCCATTCGGTCTCTTGAGCCTGCTCCACCATTCGATAACATCATGGCTGATCATCTTGCATTCTGAATTCCACATTCCCATTTAACCCCTTTCGGAACATGTCTCTTTTTCTTGGCAATACTCATTCTGTAACTGAGTGGCAACTCGTTCATTATGTATAATTCTTGCATGTAGGTTTATTGTTAGAGCACAATGATGATTTTCCCCAGACTTTTAGCTTTTGTTTCTGTTAATTATTTTACGATAAACTAATACATTTAAATTGTTTTGACAGATCGTCTCCAGCAAGAAATTGACCAGGCCGCTTGTGTTGCACAATGGGAAGCCGGCAGGAAAAGGGACAATCACGGTATAAACTAAAATACCTTATGTGGTGACTAGAGCATGGTAGTGGTTAGGTGAACCTTTAATTTCCTGATGGGTTTTTGTGGCACTGGCAGGTTTACATGCTTACAGTCCCAGTGTTTGTTGATTGATTGATTGGTACGTATGGGATCAGACAAATCAACAAACTTTGAAGGAGCTCCCACGTGATTAGTGTCCAGCCAGTCTGGTGAAGAATGGGATTTGTGTGAAGTATGTATTTGCAGTTGATTTGAAAGATGTTGTGCTGAATATTACCAGAGATTGGCCAAGAGTCAGAACTTTGGTGAATTTCATGGAGGGCTTTTTCGTGAAGTCTAGCGAGATTTCTCATACTATTCTCTGCAGTGACCTGCTTGTGCTATCTTCTGCACGGTAATCATGGAAACGCTTACTACTGCCTGGACCTCCTGAAATTTCAAGCCATGCACCTGGTGAAGTGCTACCAGCCAGACCTGACTCTTTTTAAGACATGTGAAAAGAGAATCCAAAAATTGTTTTCAAAGGCACATTGGTGGAATAGTTGATACTTTTTTTGCAAATACAAGCACACATTTCGAAGTGTACTGCTCCTTAAGAGCAAACTACATTGGTTGCCTGTTCTTAGCTTCATCCCGCCTTTAGACCCATGTCTAATGGATCGCTGCACTGTCCTAGCACTCATTGCCAGCTAACATCTTCTCATTGTTCATTGTGGGAGCATCCCACACTGAAATTCCCTCCAAATGGTTAAAAACGTTCATTTTTAGTCAATAACAGCAAAAGCGAAAGAATAAAGTCAGGGCCTTCTTGAGAAACTTCCAATGATATCTGGAGCTGGATTTATTGACCTCCTCCAACAACTACAACTGCCATCTATTGTGCTATAGATGACTCCAACTAGTGAGGATTTTTTTTTCCTTTAATTAACATTAATTTTGCTAAGACTCCTTGATGCCACATTAGATCAAATGCTGACTTGATATCATGGCCAGTGATTTGCGCCTCACTCTAGATTTCAGCTCTTTTATCCACGTTCAGACCAAGGCTGTAAAGAGATCAGGAGTCTGGTTGTCGTGGCCAAATCCAAACTGAGCACCAGGGAGCCGATTGTAGCTGTGTAAGTGTCACTTGGCAGCACTTTTGATGACATTTCCTCTTTTGCTGATGATGAAGGAGAAACTGTTAAGATAGCAATTGGATTGGATTATATTTGCGTACAGGACATGTCTGTGCCATTTTCCATAACATATTACAGATACCAGTATTGTAACTTTACGAGAACAACTTGACTAGGTTCTGGAGCCCAAGTCTTCATTACTGCTGCTGGCATTTGTCAGGACCTATAACCTTTGCAGTTTCCAGTTCCTTCAGCTGTTTCTTGATATTAAGTTGAGTGAATTGAATTGCTTTGACTGAGGACTGTGGATGTCTGGAGGAGGGCAAGGTGGATCATCCATTTGGTCCTCCTGGCTGAAGATCGTTGCAAATTTTCAGTCTTGTATTTTGCACTGATGTGCGAGATTCTTCATCATTGAGGTTAGGAATTGTTGTATCATTTCCTCCTCTGGTTGTTAAATTGACTTCCATCATTTATAGATTGTGGAGCAAAATTGGAAAAGTACTGTTTTAAACCAAAACTGTGGATAGAGTTGCACAGTTAAGAGCTGTGCTTTTAAAACTCGTTACTGGAACTCATTTTGTGTTGTATTTATACTGTTGCTTTGTTCAAGTACTGAGGGTTGATGTTTGAAATGTCGTGGCATCATGGATATGTGGGTACAGAAATCGCTTTGCCCAGAGACAGATTGCTGCTGATTTGTTTGTGCAGTCAGGACCAGTTGTGGAGGCCCATTGTCATCAGCATGACAACAAAGCTGCAGCTGAACAGTAGAGAGATAAAAGCTTCCAGACTGCAAGAGACTGAAGAGAAGGAACCAAAAACCTTTAAAAAGAGGTAAATCTCTCCTACCCTTTGCTATAACCTGTTGCCTCTAATCAGTGACCAAAAGGCTGAAAAATCAACGTGTCAACTGCCTCTAATTTGAGAAAACTGGAGGGACCTGGAAATAGGTGACTGGAGATCAGAACGACTTGGAAGAAGCAAAAAGGACACATGACCACAACCTGTGGACTGGTGTTATTCAACTGTGTTTTGCAATAGTTCTTAAACCACCCATAGCATCTATGTTTGTCTGTCTGTGTATGTTTGCATGTTTGTATAGGGCTTTAAAGGGAGGTTGTGGTTTTAGCTAGCAGATATAAATTGACAATTCATATTTTTTATTTCTGTGGTTAGAATTGATTTATTTGTAATAAAATATAGTTTCACATAAAGTGTAGAAACCTCGTCACTATTTTCTGCTATTCCATGTCCATTGGATATGTAATAGGCATGAGTGTGGAGTGTGATAGAATATTCTGCACTTGTCTGGATGGATACAGCTGCAAAATTAATCATGCATAACACCATTCAGTGCCAAAGCAACCTGCTTGGCTGGCATCCCACCTTCAGTATTCACTGTCTCCACCATTGTGGCAGCAGTGTGTACCATTTACAGCAGGCAGTAACCCACCCAATTTCCTTTCATGGCACCTTCCAAACCCGTGACTTCTGCTACCTACAAGAAAAAGAGCAGCAGATATATGGGAACGCCACAACTCTAAATCTCACATCTTCCTGACTTGAAACTAAATAGCCTGACCTGCTCTATTGCTGGATCAAAATGCTGGAACTGCCTCCCAAACAGCATAAGGACAACAGCGGTTCAAGAGGTGCCTTACTACCAATTTTTCTAGGGTGGTAAACCCTTCCCTTGCCAGTGACACAATTATCCCATGAACCTATATTTTTAAAAAAAAAATAGTGGCCTTGTTTCACCTTGCGTTCTAGACATGAATAACTATTTCCCAATCTGCCTGAGTACTTGTTATCTGACTACCTTTTGCTGCAGGAAGGGAATTGAAGTAGCTTTCCCATCAGGCTGGAGATTTGTTTGGCCCTACTTGTATGTTTTTGTTTAACTAGGTATAAGATAGCATTGCTGATTTCCTGGGGCAAGATTTACTTACACCAAGTCTCGCATGCAGATGGGATTTGAGGAGAAAGGTGATAAGTGGAGTAGATGGACTAGTAGAGGTAATTTTTTTTTTTGGTAAAACTTTTCTAATGGCTTTATCCACTTTAGATTTTTGCAGAAGAAGTAAAAGATAACCGAGTGGTAAATTTTGAAGTTCAAGCACGCAAATTGGATAAAAAGGTAGAGCACAGACTTTAAATTAAGTTATTGTATAAAGTCTGTTTTATTGCCACTTACTGATTTACAGTATTAAAGGGTTTCTTTATCTCTAGAACTAAGTTAGTGTTTTACTTTTATTACTTGTATTGAGTAGGATTTTTGGGGAAAATCAGACCCTTATTTGGAATTCTGCAAACAAACAGAAGATGGAAAATGGCAAATGGTGCATCGGACAGAGGTGAGAAATATGTTCTGAAAGGCACAATGATATTGTAAATTCCGTATCAGTCATAATAGTGCCTTTACTTCATACAATGTCCTGACTCTTTAAATAGCATGGTAACGGTCATTTTTCTTTCCAAATGATCTACAACAAATTGGTTAGTTTTTTTTTATTGTGGGGATGTTTCAAAAGTGCAGACCAAGATTTTTAATTAAGGTATACCATATTTTTGAAATAAGGTTGTTACTACTTGATATTGTACTGAAACATAGCCACAGATTTTGTGGGTATCAAAGTTTACATTTCACCTGGCTAAAGGAAAATTAGTACTGATATTTTAAATTGATTTCGAGAAACTCTACTGTCTTAATCCATCAAGCTAAATTAGTAGAAATGTGGGGCCCATTTCTCATGAAGCACAAATATAACAAAACTCACTTCTCTCATTTGCTACCCATCCCTCCCTTACTAGGATATACCATGGTCAAAATTCATTCCACCTTCACGAGCAGGCTGGTGGGGGGTGGTTTTTATGGAACGGGAGGGAAGGCACAGTTAGAGTGCCCATCGCTCATTGCCCGGAGCTTTGAGTATAGGAGTTGGGATGTCATGTTGAGGTTGCACAGGATGTTTGAGAGACATCTTCTTCTGCAGTACTGTGAGCAGTCCTGGTCACCCTGTTATAGGAAGGATATTATTAAACCGGAGTGGGTTCAGAAAAGATTTAACAGGATGTTACTGAGAATGGAGCATTTGAGTTATTAAAAATGGGCTGAATTGGCAAGGGTGTTTTTCACTGGAGCGTAGAACGTTGAGGGGTGACCTTTTATAGAGGTTTGTAAAATCATGAGGAGTATAGATAGGATGAATAGCAAAGGCCTTTTTCCTAAGGTGGGGTAGTTCAAAACTAGGGGGTATATTTTTAAGAGATAGTGGGAACTGCTGATGCTGGAGAATCTGAGATAACAAGGTGTAGAGCTGGATGAACACAGCAGGCCGAGCAGGGAAGCTGACATTTTGGGTCTGGACCCTTCTTCAGAAGATGCTTCAGAAAATATTTTTAAGTTGAGAGGAGAAAGATTTAGGACAAAAGGTGAAACTTTTTGACAGTGTGTGAAATGAACTGCCAGAGGAATTGGTGGATGCAGGTACAGTTACAATATTTAAAAGACATTTGGGTAAGTACACGAGTAGGAAAGGTTTGGAGGGATGTGGGCCAAATGCAGACAAGTGGGACTGGTTTAGTTTGAGAACATGGTCAGCGTGGACTAGTTGGGCCTAAGGGTCTGTTTCCATGCTGTGTGACTCCAGGAGGTGGTTGGACTGTAGGATATGTTTCTGTGCTGTATGACTCTTATGAAATACATCAATTAATTCCATTGTACTGCGCATGTTTCGAATTAATGAATTCTTAAAAAATTTCATACTGGTTGAAGTCCCACCTGCTCCAGAGGCATGTAATAACATCTCTGAACTGGTTGATCAGAAAAATAGGTTAATAAAAATATTCCATGCCGAACTTGACATTGTAGCATTGCTTCATCATCACTCACTGGAGAATTAGCACAAAAGAATTTCAGTCCTATGGCTGCAACGCAATCCACAATAATTTCGACAGTATTGAAAACTTATATAGCTCCTTTAATGTGGAGAATTATTCCCTGGTGTTTCATGGAGTTATTTCTAAAAGTGGATGTTGAAAACAGAACTAGTAGGGTTAACTAAAAGTTGGTCATAGGTGAATTTTAGCAAATATCTGAAAAGAGGAGAACTTGGTTGAGAGACAAAGCAGTTTAAAAAGCAATTTCTATCTTGTTGGGCCCAGGTGGCTGAGGGGTTGGTCATTGGTTGTAGGATAATGGAAGCACACATCCGGAGCCAGAGGAACACAGTGCTTCTAAAGCATTGTAAAGACAGTAAAAATTATTACAACGATTCAGCAAGGCCATGGCGGAATATGGATAAGTGAATGAAAATTTTAAGTTTGAGGCAACTGGAGACGAGGAATCGATAGTTTTCTGAACAGTGGGTGAAGGAAGAAAGTGGACAGCGGAGTTTCAGATAAGCTGTAATGTGTGGAATATGGAGGAAAGTAGATTGATAAAGAGCTCACAGTGACAAATTCTTGCCTGCAAAGAAAGTTGTTTCTTTTTTGTACTTTATAATTGCAGCATTATTCTTTAGAAAATAGTAAATTGGGCATTTGAGTGAATTAGTTTCTGCTGAGTTCTATTAAGTCCATTAATTGAAGAAAATACTGCCAAGACAGTTATTCTGCATGTGCAATGCAATATGAATGTTGTTGCTTCCCCTCCATCAATCAACAAAATTTGGTTACGTTTGTAAACTGCTTTAGACAAACACGTCCTTAAATATGTGGGGTAACATTTTCAGTTAGAACCATAGCATTCCTACAGTGTGGAGCAGACCATTCAGCCCACACTGAGCCTCTGAAGAGCATCCATACCCATGTTATCCCTGTAACTCTGCATTGCTAATTCACCAAGCCTGCATATCCCTGGACACTGTGGGCAATTTAGCATGGCCAATGCACCTAACCTGCACGTCTTTGGACTGTGGGAGGAAACCGGAGCATCTGGACGAAACCCACGCAGATGCAGGGAGAAAGTTGTCCAGGGCTGGATTTGAACCCAGGTCCCTGGCACTGAGGCAGCAGTGCCAATCACTGAACCACCATGCCGTCCTCTATACTTGTCGTACTTTCCATGAACTAAACTTTAATACAGTTATGGTGACAAAAGATGCAGAAAAGCAATTACTTTGTGTGATCCTTCAGCTATTACATTAATGTTTCTTTGTCATTTTCAGGTTATTAAAAAAAATTTGAACCCCACTTGGAAACCATATAAAATTCCTTTGCAGTCACTTTGCAACAGTGACTTACAGAAACCAATCAAGGTATTTTTCATTTTTGCCTACCAGAGATTTTTTTGACATGTTTTTCTCAGCTTGCATTCTCGTTGCTGAATAATAATAGAATGTTTACTTAGCTTATTGTTTGAAAAGATTATTAAACAAGCCATTGACTGAAGCACCAGCTTCAGTGGGAGAGGATTGGTTAGACTGTGCAAGTGACTACTATCTGGTTTAAAGCGTGATACTCTAACTCCTCCTCATGTACCCATTCTTTGGACATCCCTTTTTTCACGTGCTCACCTTCCTGTTTCCTGCTATAAAACTGATTTACCTAGCCAGGCATGCAGTCTTGTTATTTTGTGGAAAATAAACTTGAAGCCTATGAGCAGAGGTTTTTGTTAAATTTTACATCTGTTTACCAACATACACATGTTGTTGCTGCCTTTATTGAGTGTGATAATTTCTTGGATTTGTGACTGCTTCAGCATTCAGTTTTATTTCATGCACCTAATTATTTGTAAGATATACTGGAATATTGGGCGGAATTTAGTGCTAATCACAGAAGGGGGCTAGGAGGGGTGGGATGGGGTTGGGGCTGGGGGTGCTATTGCCTGTAAAATCGGACAGGAAAATATGGCAACCCTGCTGTCTTCCTTACTTGCCCGCTTATATACAACCTTTCTACTTGGATGTCCGTTGAAGTTCTTAAGTGGCCACTTAAAAATCACTTCTTTGCTGTAGCTGGTATTCAACCAGTGGCAGATGGGAATCATAGCATCTGAGCTACCTACCAGAAATTCTGGTTTGAGATTGGGTGGCAGGGGAAGGTTCCTCCTCAACTGGCCCTAGCAAGGAAACACTACCTAAATTCATTCCAGGCTCCAGCAAAGATCTTGCAGCTTGGGCTACCTGCAGTACCAGAAGTGACCACCGTTCCTGATGGTGCTGGCACTAGTAGAGAGCTCCTGACCTCTGATTGGTAGCTGTTGAGTAGAAAATGCTCCTGAACACGATGAGCTTGCTGACACCATCCAAGTAAGTGTCTGTTGGTGTTTGATTGCAGTTGTGCCTCAGAATGGCTGCAGCAGTATTTCCAATTCACCATCACCACCAACATCAAATTCAGTACATAGTGTTGATGGCAATGGCTGAAAGACAGATTATTTGTTTGAAAGTTTTACAAAAATTTTGTTTAAGTGACAAGCTAGTTTCAGAATAATGGGCAGAATTTCCTATTTTCAGTCGGTGATTTGCCAGATGTAATTCATGGTTCCCGATTAGACGTGGCTCACAATGACCTTTCTCACTTTTGTCGTCTGCTCTTCACCTGACAAATTATACCACCGCGCTCTTCTGTCTGTCTTTCCACACAATGGTACAAGAAAGTCCCAAAGTACTTGCCATTGTCAAGATTTCCATTGTTCATGCTGCTGGCACCATTGTTAAAGCCCAGCTGCACCTAACATCAAATGCTGATGGCTAAGAACCACGTCACGCACTGTTGTGTTCCACTGTTATCACTGAAGACATGATCCAGAAAGGAAAAATCGCATCCTGCTTCTTGTATCATGCCCTGGAGGTGCTGTTGGGTGGTGAAGAGGAACGCTATCCGTTATTCATGAGCCAGCCTTGATCCAGATAGAGGCCCAAGTCAGTGCTGTGTCCCAGGATAGAAGGACCATTCAGCAGAAAGGAAGTCAGTGATCCTCTGTGCTCCACAAGGGTAAGTGCCACCACCTTCTCTCTGCTAATGCTCACTCTCAGTGCCACCACTCACTCTCACTCTGCCACTGCACGCAATTCTCGCTAATGCTTGTAGACAGTAGCTCTCACAATTGCATGCAGTGAGACCATTCAGTGGCTCTCATGCACCTCAACCTCTCACATTACTAACTTTTTCTGCCTTCTGCACTTTCTATTCACTAACTGGAGACACCTCATGACTTCTGCTAGTCCTGAATCATAATTAACTGCTCTTCCATCCATTTCTTCATATTCAATCCCTCTCTTTGTCTCATTGCAGGAAATATTGGCCCACAGCAGGCAGAGGGGACCAAGACCAGCAAGTGAATGCCAGATTTTAGGCTCCTCTTTGCCTACAAGGAAAAAAATCTTAGAATTGACCAGAGAACAGCAGTATTACTCGTGGGGGCAGGGAGGCCTCAATGACCAACCTATGCAGTAAGCTTTTTTGTTCTGTTTTACAGTCATTTCCCATTAACATTATATTGCTAATTCATTCTTAAACTGCACCAGCTTTTATCCCTCTTACACAACTAATTCATTCTTCTCTTATGCATGCACTAGTGGTACCCAGCAAACTTCCACCACGAAGAGGCAGTACTGAAGATTCTCAGCTCCACTTCCATCTCTGAGAAGGAATCCACAAAACCTTAAGAAATGTACCAGAATGGCTTTTCCCTGCATTGTCCTGTCCCCTTGATGGATGCTCTATCTGGATTAGGCTCAGAAGCAGCCTGGTCCACACGTTGTCTCCACATTCAGTCGAAGAAGCGAAGTCCCATGTCTCTGGCACTCGGGCTACCAGAGACCAGGCAGAAGATGATCCCAGAGTCTTGGCCATTAATGACTTGTCAAAATACAGCAGGCGGGTTTGTCAGAGGCAGAAGATTGTAGCGTGGTGGAGTCTACCAACATTATCAATACAGTGCTGGCTCTGGAGTGGCAATATCAGTGGCATTGAGAGAACAGGACAAGGGACCTTGATCTTACTCAAGGTGGCCATTCCTTTTGGGTGAGATGGTGGTATTAGCAAACACTCATAGGGAGGAGGAACTACACACAGGCCACTCCCTATTCCCCTCACACTAGGGTAGTTTCAATCCACTTCTATGATCTGTGAAGTCCTGCCTTTCCACAAACAAAATTTCTCCCAATCAACCCAGTGCGATGAACTCCATCCTTGAACTTGCCTGCTCTCCCTAGGATTCCATTGACTGCCCCTTATCCAGCCCCTGACCATTATTGCCTAACGCCCCACGACTGACTCTGGCCCATTCTCTGGACTAATACCTCCATAACACCCGAACTGGTTTCACTTGACCTGCAGGACAGACCATGGCCCAATCTCCAGGCTGCAGTACCTCGGATCACCTAACTCAGTGTGGCCATATGCTAGATTGGAATATTCTTTGACTGACTGACTGACTGATGGTAATCTCCCTTCCCTGCCACCCACTAAGAACTGCTCATTTCTGACTTTCAGACATTTTGCTGGAAGCAAGTGTTTTTGCTACCATGTAAGTTGCACATGCCACAAGTGTGACGCTTTTGTAGACTGACATTTGCTGTTTAGCATTCCTACGCTCACACACACACACCTCACTTACCTCTCCTTCTGTGCCAAATAGCAATATGGCGGCTGTAACTAACCAATAACGAGCCTGTGCAGTAAGGAAGGAACAGTATTAAATGTGCAGAGGCTGGCAGCCTGCAAAATGAGGGCAAAGTGGAGTGAGCATTAAGAAAACAAGCTTACGCATATCTTTAGGATGGTGAAGCCAATGGCTGGTGGTTGGCTGATGCCAGCTTGCATGGATGAAGAGTCTATGAGGATGTTGAACATGGAACATGAAGAAATATTGTGCTGAAGACACAGTTGGATGATGACTGGGATAAGCAATTTGTGAGCTG